TAATTAATAGTAATAGTTAAAATTTAAAATTTAAAATTTAATAACTACTAATTTTTATTATTTATATGATTTTTCTAACATGGACTTTTAGGGTATAGGTTGAGAGTATTTTTTTATTATAAATGTATATCAAAAATTATAAAAGATGATATTAATTTCAATGTTAGTGTCAAGTTAATGAATTTAATTAAATAGTTAATAAATTAAATGTTAATTTTTATTTTTTTAATATAATTTTATGATAAAAATATATAACTAATATACCATTAATCTGTGCCTTTAGAGACATATCAAACAAACCCCTATTTATATTTAAAATATTTAATTCATTCTATTAGATTCCACAAATCATTATTTTCAAAAAGCTAAAACAAGCACCACATTTCCTTGAGGTTGGTATTTTGTGAATACGATTGGTGCATTGAGTCAGAATGGAGATGTAGTTAACAATTTTTTTTGTTAATCATCTCCTTACCAAAAATAAACAATTAATTAACAAACTCAAAAATGAGACATTTCAACTTCTAATTTTAGAGTTTGGGTTTTGTTTTTAAAGCCATGTGCTCCCCTTTTCCCTTTATCATCTCTAACCATGGGTATTGTTGTATCGACACACGTCAGCATTTGGGCTTTCTTCGCTTCCAGCTCCCAATCCGTTGACCCCACCACATACAGCATCAGCCCAGCGCAGCACAATTGGGCTGACAATAGGCCCAACCAAAGCCCACAAAATCCAACTCCCATCCAAAACCCAAGCCCAATGGCTACCGGCATGCCCACCAGATAGAACGCGCCAAGGTTCACGTTAGCCGCCGTGGATGGCCGAGCACTACCTCTCAGGACGCAACAACCCACCGTCTGCGGGCAGTTTCCGAGTTCGCAGAGACCGAGAATCGGCAACGCCGCCGACGTCAGCTGTAGGATATTGGGGTCATTTGTAAACATCCGGCCCCACATATCCTTCATCCCAGACGCGAACATCGAAGCTGATAGACCCATGATGGCGGCTATAACCACCGCGACTACAGCAGATAATTTCGCGGCGTGAGGGCGATTGGCGCCCAGCTCATTACCCACGCGGGTTGAAACCGCGAACCCGAACGACGACGGGAACACGTAAATCAACGACGTCGTCTGTATCAAAATCCCCATTGACGCAACCGTCGCCTTTGGGTTGGCCAACAGGCCGCAGAGCACGATCATGATCTCGTACCACCACCATTCCAAACAGACCGATACGCAACTCGGCGCCGCCAGCCGGAGTAGAGGCTGCCAACCCGTTAAGCATTCCCAGGTTGGTTTGATCCATGTGGGCTCGTGCAATCCGGTGGCCCAGATGTAAGCAACCAATGACAACAGGACAAAAAAGTTGGATGCCGCGGCGGCTGCCGCAACACCGGCAACGCCGAACTTGAAATGGGAGACTAAAAGAAAATTGATGGGTAAATGGAAAATGGTGGCGGCGAGGGATGCTAGAGTGAGGGGATATGTGATGCCTTGAGAGCGAAGGTAAATGCGGATTGGGTGAATGAAGGAATTGGTGAAGAGTTCGGGGAGGGAGAAGAGCAAATACGTCTGAGCCATGTGGGTGATATTGGGATCTTGGCGAAGATAAACCATGATTTCAGACATATTTAGCCAGAATAAAGAAATGGGTATGGAAGAAACCAAGAGGAAAATTACAGAACGATGAAGAGTAAGAGATAGGAGTTTGGGTCTTTGGGCACCGACGGCTTGGGAACAGAGTGGCTCCATGCCTAGAGCAAGACCGGAAAGAACAGAGTACCCCGTGATGTTTGCAAAAGCAATAGCCAGTGAGCCCGCGGCCAGTTCAATGTCGCCGAGGCGGCCGAGGAAAAGCATGGAAATGATGGAGCGAGAGTAGAGAATGAGAGCGGTTAAGACTATAGGGAAGGCAAGGCTGAAGAGGGATTTTGCCTCGGCAACAATCTCCGAGGCAGAAAATTGTTGCTGTTGCTTCTGTGGGTTAGTTTTGGGGTTGAGTGGTGGCAAGAGATCGAAATACAGATGGGTTTGCGGCGGTATATCGATGGTGGCGGCTACGTTGGTAAGAGGAGGAGTGGTGGTGCTCTGATTACACATGATGAAGGAAGTGAATCTTCTTTGTTTGTTTCACTACTATGGAGATCCTATAATAGAAGAGCACCGTGCAAAAAAAGTCAGGGTGTTTCCTATATATCTATGAATATGGAAGCTATTGCTAAGGTTCCCCTTGGAGGATAGATTGGATGGAGTGCTTCATGCCGTAGAAATGAGCTGTATAAATAGCGGAGTTATGGTGGGATCTTTTTTGAATTCCATTTAAAAAAAAATCATAAAATATATATGCAGCTTAAATGGGAATTGATGATGTTCTGTATTTTTCTTAATATTTTTTTGGGGGTAAGATAATTTTGTTACTTTATGTGGTTTGAATCAAGGGTGAGGAGATGTGTTTATTTTGGCCAAGAGAGCCTAGATGTCAGATGGCCCAATTTCCGACGACCCAAATAGTATCTTTTCGAGATTTCCATTTCACCTTCTGCGGCTGCTCTTTCCACCCTCTCCGCAAAATGGTATAGATAAGCGCAAGCACATAAATTTTATCAATTATTTTTATTTAAAATTATAAATTTTTAAAATTTTTAAATCAAGATTTAAACTTTTATTTTTTCAAAATAAAAATACAGATTTTCTGTCTTTTTTATTTAAGAATTTATTAGTTAGGAACAAGTTTTGCCCCAAGTTGATAAGGATACAAACTTTCTATTATCAAATTTAGTTATGATATATAGTCTAACCAAATGCAATTTTAAAATCAAATATTGCAATATAAATAACACCCCTAATTAGTGACTTCATTCCACGCTTTTCTTCTTCTTTTTTTTTTTTTTTTGAATTGTATAACAATAAATTACTTTCTTATATCTCTTAACTTTTTTTTGCTTATATACCTAATACTCGAATTCATTAAATCTTTTATTTTCAATAAAAACTGTTATAAGTTGGGGTGGATATGGTTTAATTTCAGATACAATTAAAAATCAAATTACTTTTAACCAAAATTTTTGTGATTAATTTTTAAAACTAATACTAATTCAGAAAAAAAGGGTGTTACTAGTTTTGGTTACTTAATTTTGGTGGATAACTATTTAGATCATATTTAATTTTAACCAAAAAAATATTTCTATATTTTAAATATTTTTTAATCTATTAATCATTATTTTATTA